AAAAGTGTGATAAATAGTACTATAATTTTAAAAACGAACAGAATTTTCAGTAAACCGGTACCATTACCAAATTAATGGTTTGAATAACTTATATTTTGGTTTTTATTATAAGAATTGTGTTTTATTTTATCAGAAATGTCATACAACTACTGTTAGGTAGTTGTATCAGATTTTTTTCCTCCGTGTGCAAAGAATACAGAGTCTTAAAAAATGTCAGGATTTTGTTACCTCATAAAAATTAATTATTGAAAACGTTGAGATAATTTTTGAGTTGAAACGTAGTAAAACAAAATAAGTTCTTCCTTTTCTCAATAATTGGACTCCATATTTTTTTCAATCTGTGAGGTAAACTTTAAATTTCGTTGCCTCCACTAAGGCTGGATCTTACATTTCTGAACTTACTATTATTTGTCTTCTTAGAATACATAGGAAACATTGATTACAAGGAAACGTTTACTGATGGCAGAAACCTATCTTAACTGAACGTTAGCATTTCTTACAAATATATTTTAATCTTTAGTATCAAAAAATGCACGAATAATCAGTCATTTAGACTCTTAACACGTTTGCAGTTGAATCGCCTTCAGGCACAGAGTACCGCTGTACGTAGCGTATTCTGCTAAGTACTCCCATCGGCATTTCAATAATGCGAGTCTCTGGTGACCACAAGAATAATATCTCCGTTTGTTTTCATTGTGTCATGTCTGTTTATTTGTGTCCGTTGATTCGCATCTGTTTCTAATATCGCCACTTTACACTATCAGTTTGAGGAGCATAACTTAAAATCTTATGGAAAAAAATGGAAAACTTATTTTTTAGTGAGTCAAATAGCAGTGAACAAGAAGGCTTTTAGGAGGCTCACAATCATTTTCTTCATAAATCCTTTTTGTATTACTCTTACAACAATTCAATAGTTTTGTTACTTGCTGTGAAATATCTTTTCAAATACATACGAATATCCTTCGCAAGTAGTCAAAAAAGCGGGTGACGCGGTCCGACCAGAAATGTTGCTGTCACCCGAATATGGGTGACGCGGCAGTCAACGTATTAATACAAATTTTAAACTGATTATATTTTCAAATCTTTACCTAGTTTCAAATTAAATACTATTCTCCCATTTTGACTTTTTTCAAAAATATATGAAAACAACACACGATATTTAGTTACAGTTTTTCTTAGTGAATCGAATTCAAAAATATTAAACATAGTTAATACAACTATTAATTTACGTAAATTATAAAAGGGTGATCATATAAATACTTCAAATTGTAGTTCCTTATAGGGTACTGTGCTTTCTCAAGAAAGCAAAATAAAGCGTCAAGTTGGGTATATTAGTGTTTAAGTTATCAAAACAGAGATTTATTTTCATTTGCTTAAACGAAATAAAATAAAAACTTGAAACGGAACGTGACTAAAGCAGTCAGACTAACGCTAGCCGTAAAAATATTGCTCTTAAAAAATATAGAAATTTTTAATTTTTTTTTCTTCTTAAAGTATTTCAAATAAAAAGAATGAAAAAAAACTTTAATTTAACAAAAAAAGGTTAAGGGAAAGAGAATAATTTAATTTTAACGTCATAAATGTAAAGAGAAAACTGCGTGAGAGCTGTGGATGGAAACTGCAGGGGAAAATACTTTTTTTTTCTTTTTGAATTTGATTTAAGTTTATCTTTGGAAGCGTAATGTAAAGTCCATATACCGTTCGTAAAGAAAAATAGCTTATTTCAAAGAAAAATTAATTATATTGTGTATAATGTCTAAAGTGAAGTAAGAGCTCATAAATTATTTTAACTTATATAATTAATAAAAGAAAACGTTGGTTTATATAAACAATCAAGCAACAAAATTATTTCTTTTAAAATATCATAACACTAAATTCATAGCAATACAATAACGTTTTTTTACCGTACTTCTTGAAGGACAACTTAAAGGAATAAACATTTCAGATGTAGAACTATTTTATAGTCTATCAGAATTAATTTACCTTAATGTACAGTATTCCTTTATTTTTCCTTTACAAACAATACAAATTCTGCATTATAAAGAGTGTTATATAATCTGAACCCTTTATAGATATTTTTCGAATTTTTGACAACATAAATAAGTTTTCTAAATCTGGAAAATCAAAGATTTCAGACTTCGATTTCTAAATCGAAAACAAGATTAAAATTCTGTTCGAAAGCCAGCAGAAATAAAGAAGTGAAAGCTGCTTCGTAAAACAAATTCAATTTGAAATGAAACGGATCAATTTGAATTGATTCAATCTTTTTTCAGGTAGGTAGGTACTTATTTATGTCGCACTTGAGCTGCACAATGGACTATTGGCGACGATCTGGGAACCATCCCTTAGGATGATCGGAAGACATGCCATCACAATTTTGATAATCTGCAGAGAGGATGGCTCCCCGCTTTGATAGCCCGACGACCAGAGAGCTAAGCCGAACACTTTACGGTAGAACAAACGAAGACCAATACCGTTCAACCTCGGTACCTAATCAGGGCAATCTAAGTGGTCTTCCACCTGCTTTTGGACTGCAGCCAGTGATACTCGTCTTCAGTGTTCTACTGGGAACCGTGTCTGAACGATCAACCTACTGAGGGACATCTCCCTTTACCAGTGATTAGTTTATTAACTCTTTAACTGTTGTTTTTGAAATTTTTTTTCCAGATTCAAGAACATGTTATCTCTAGTGGTACATGCTTGATTGATTTATTTTGTTAAAATACTAAAAAAGATAGATTTCAATAGAAAAAGTTGTTTTTGTCACGAATTCCTGCTATTTAGATCGATTCGAAATTTATTTTCTCACGTTCTCAAAAATATTATTACTTGCAATTTTCAAAATAAATAAATGAATAAATAAATAAAATAAAAATTCGTATTTATATGCTTTTATTTCAGATTTTATAAATTTTAAATGAATAAAAATTACCTTTTTATGCAATATACAGGTACACAACTATCTCTTTATTACAGAAGCTTCCTCAAAAAAGTGATAACTGTTGAAAAATATTTAAAACCCCCTCAGTCATATTGCTTAGGTAGGCCCATAAAAGTACGAAAACAAAATTTCGGCCCATTTCATATTGGCCTATTTTAATATTCCTAAGTTAGGAGTAATTTGTTTCGCTAAAATACACGTTATTTTCCCGAAAATATGGTAAAAGTACCGGAAATTCTGGTTTTCAAAATTATAGTTCTTACTGCTAAGCTAAAAGAAATGGAGAGTAAATTTAAAACGAATAAATGAGTTTTATGCCTCCAATAAGGTAACATGATAAAATGACCAATTTTACCACCTGCATCGAATTTTATACCGCGTTATAAAACAACATTTAAATAATTTTACCAAAATTAATTTAAAAAGTTTCGATAAAAACTACCGATTTAGTGCTTCTATAGATTGAGAAACGCTGTAAAATTTACCATATTCTGACAGTTTTGACCATACTTTCTCTTCAGAGTAGAAATAAACTAAGGTAACTTCAGAAAAATTCTTCTTCATCTATTTGATTGGCAGCATTTGTTTGAGCGCAGCGCATGCAAAATTTTAGTATGTTTTTTTATTATCTTTAAAATTTTGTGAAATTGATAAGTATACTTTCTGTGCACTGAAACATACTTTTTTTTCTGTTGAAGGAGTGACATTTTTAGAGTTTTGCGTACAATAAGAAATTTTCGGGCAAAAACTAATTGAAAGTGTCTTTCACCAGTTTGAATGATATCCTTTTAATTGACAGCAACTAAAATAACAAAACTTAATAATTCCATATAATGTCATAAGTTAATGGTTAAAAATGTTAATGTTTGTTATGTTAAGGTTAATGTTAATTTCAATCGGTTTTTTGCCAATAAGAAAACATTACAAAATAATGAAGCGAATTTTTTAAGAAGAGGTACAAAAAAGCGTGTTTCTTTTTTCACTATTACGGTAAAGGTCCAGATATCTGGTATATGAAAGAACAGGCTTTAAAATCACTTCCTCAAAAACTCTTGTTACTCGCGATATAAGAAAAGATGGTTCTTAAGCTTTCCATTATTGTGGAAGCTTTGGTCTTCATAACAGACCATTGAAAATTACTCACATTGTCAGTTCATCTAACCACGAGCGATGTGAAATGGGCAAAAATTTTGTATTTGTAAAATAACTCTTTCTCTTTTAAATAGGTATTTTACAGCTTATTTACTGAAGAAAAACAACACCTGTATATTGCATAACATAAAATTCTTTGTTGATCTAAAATACAATTATATCTCAAATAAATTTGACATCAATTAGGTTTTATGCATGTTTGCGCTAGTTTCGGGCGCATCATGTTTTTCATTAATTGGAATTTTTTGAGCAAAATATCGCAATTATTTTTGTCCTTATACTATTACGGAGAGAGCAACCTCGCAAAGTTGAAGGAAAGCCCTCCCTCATTAGACATGGATATCAACCAATTAGACATGGATGCCACGTGCCATTGACCACAGCCGGCCAGGGGGTCTACCTTTCTGCATGTAAAATGGCTTGTGCCTACGTGTGCCTCGACAGACTCCTCGGACGGGGTCATTTAAATCTATCACTCCTTATCTCCCCATCTGCTGACCAGACGAGTGGTCCTCTCGCCGTTCAAACCCCCTTCCTCTAGCGTCCACCATGTAAAAGGGGGCGACCGCAAACGATTTGTAGCTTACAAATTATCAATTTGTAATTGTGGGATATCTATTTCACTGAGGAAAGCAAAAGCAGCCTGCTCTCAGCCTTAGGACATATAATTGACTCAAACAGCTGAAAGCTTCAATGAAATTCGCTTGAGCCATAGTGGCTCAGGTGATAGAGAGCTCATCTCCTACTTAGGTGCCCTAGGTTCAAATCCCAGGGGTGTTTGGCTGATATGTATTATGCTCCCGACGCGCATCAACCATAGTGCTGACGTAAAATATCCTCAGGGGTAATCAGATTAAGGGGTAGAAACCCCTAGCCATCCGACTAACAGTGGGAGGTCTTCGTGGTTTTATTCGTAATGTAGTAATTGGTTAAATAAAAAAAAAAGCGTAATTATGGTTTCATTCGTTAGTTCCATCAAAAAATCCTTCAAGAAGGCTAATTTGTCTCAATGCAACAGAGTTGAACATTGAACTCAGAAGATGTTGAGCACCGGTTACAAAATAATAAATAAAAAATTAGCTTACCTAAATTTACTGCAGGGGTGAATAATCCAGTGCCCCGCTGCTTTCTGTCTGATTCTCTCTTTCATTAACGCTTTTTTACTTCCAAATAGTTTCATAGCAAGCTTATTGTCCGAAGGTTGGAACAGGGCTTCGAGCTGATTGCGCATGAAACCCGCTTTCGCTTCAGAGATACCGGGTCCTATTTCTTCCTTCGGAGTTCCGTACAAGCTAACGTCATCTTTCTCACCTTGATTGTTTTCACCGCTTTTGGAGTTGGGACCACCACCTACGGCGGCCTTAACGTCCTTAAAGTTCATCTCTGGTGTTATGTAGTCACTCACTAGATCCTCATCGGTTGCGGTTACCAGAGAATCGGTACCCGTGTGAGTGTGATCCACCGAGATTTTGATGGAATCCTGGCGATGAATGGGGCCCCCTTGGTTCCCAGGGGGCCCCGAAGCGTTGTTGCTATTGGGACCCCCTCTGACGGAACCGTCCGTGAAATTGTCGTCGTCTGTTGGGGTCCCGTAACGGATGCGGCCGTTGGCCAGGCGAAGGCTGGGCAGACGTTGGGATCGAGGATGGCTTTTGTTGGAGTCGCCGTCCGCAGTTTCTGAGCCCCTTAAAGAAAAAACAAAAATTAGTTGTTGGCATACAAATATATAAATTTATATTAAAACATTTACACATTATTTCATTGAAAATGAATGATTTGAAGGCGAATAGAGTACACACTGTAAAAAATTCCAGATCAGTTACGAAGCTGGCACCCTGAATGCAGCATTCGTAAAATCTGTTTTATCGTAAAATCCATTTTCACCGAAAAATTTTATGCCATCATTTTTACAGTAGTTTTTTTTTTTAGCAATTGTACAACGATTTTACAGTATATACTATTACACAGAAATTACGGTGCATCAGAATTTTTGTTTCTTAGAAACGTAAAAAGTTATGGCACCCTAAGTGCCGATATTTTTTTATCGTTATTAGATCCAGAATTTTTTTACAGTGCTTGGAGTGACGTGATTACAGATTCCAAACACCCAGTCGATAAAATGACGTGTCATGTTTTCAGCTAAAGTTCTTTCCAAACGTCGAAGGAAGAAGTTTCTTAATAAAGCATTCACTTGAGCATCTTTAACATAATATTTTTCTGAAATGTTTCACCGTAAATTTATCGTTTAGATATTTTCAGCTATTTCAGCATTTTGCATTTGAAGCAAAAAGTAGTTGTATTATTTCCGTAAAATTATAATTACATTGATTGCAAATTTTAACCAAATTGTTAAAATTTTATTATTCAATTATTTACAAATAACTTTGTAAAAGTATTATTATATTCTTTACACAAGAGAATTTTTTTTGTTTCTGTTTTCTGTTGCTTGAGATTATTTAACAGATCTTGGATATTTTCACGTAGCTGATTTCTAATTTGCAATTGGTTTCTCTCTCCAGGTTACAGTTTTCTTAATTGAGTTATGTTGCGATAAACTTCTAGGAGAATAAGGGCACATCATTGGGATAAAAATATACAGGAACCCATACCCGGAAATGCTATACTATAAAGAACTGTTTCTTCGAATGCTTCCAGAAAAGGAAGCACTTCTAGCTGCGTCCGTCGATATTTCCCGGTATGAACCTATTCAATTTTCATTCTCATAATTTGTGTCCTGATTGTCCTAGTAATTTATCACAACATTGACGTGAATGCAATTCACGTATATGTTGTGACGATATGCATATTATACGTGACGTTTATATATACCTTGCAACACATACGTTTTTAAACTTGTATATTTTGACAAAAAATAGACTAAAAATACTATTTTAAAAAACAATTTGTTACTTTAGGAGCAAAACTAATTTTAATTAGGGGCAAAACCTACTGAAAACCCCACATTCGAATTAGGTAAGATCAAGTATTTACATAAATGCTACAAAAAAATTTGTTCCCCAGTATTATCTGCTCGTGTGTGATTTTATGCTGCGTCTAAAATCTTGTCACTTTGGATCTTTGATTTAATTTTGCCATTAGTTTTCTTTCATCAGAGATATCGAAGGAAAAAGAATTGTCTTACAAACTGTGACATGCAATAATACTCAATATGAATATGATAGATAGGGATCTTAGCAATTAATGCTACATTTTTAGCCAAATGTTTGCTTGTAAGGGCGAAGATTTAGTGATGTTTTGTTTTGCGTGCTAAGCTTGACACGCAAAACTAGACTTGTAGCACGGAAAATCTTCTAGCACTTTAATAAGAGAATTATAAAGTATTGAAAGAATAAAAATAATAATTTTTCTTATCTGCTTTATTTCAATGGGGTTTTTAAGAAAAGAAGTAGAATAATCAACAAAATAAATCTAATTTTAAATCTTTGAATATAGTTTGTTTAACTGGCAGTGCTACGTATTCACTTAAAGAATAAGTATTTACTACACTGTAAAAAATTCCGAATCATATTGAGGTATAAAGTACCGGCATCTTGAGTTGCATTATCCGTAAAATCAATTTTACCACAAAATCTATTTTTGCCGCAAAATATAATACCATAATTTTCAATGTATTATTTATTTAATTAAGGTTATTCAGTGATGCTACATTAATTATTACTGTGAAGATTACGGTATATCAGACATTTTGTTCTGTAAAAATGGATTTTACCGTAAAAATTACCGGCATCCTGAATGAATACTTTTTAATGTAATTTGATTGGGAATTTTTTTACTGTATAAAATAAAAAATATTGTAATAGCCATTTTATTTTGTTTTTTTAATGATTAGATGCATGTATAATTGTTTAAAGTAATATAATCAAATTTCATACTTAAACTCTCTAGGTCAATAATTATCAAAAAAAGTAAAAGTTCTCCATTTTCGGAGGAATTAGTGTCATATTCTATGAAGCACTAACTCTCTCTTATGTTGTAAAAGTCTGGTTTATGAAGTTATTAGTTATTGTGATATAATAGCTATTAGTTATTACTCAATTTTGATGTAATGCTATTTATTCTTAATATTTAGTTATTATGACTGATCAAAAAAAGCAATATTATAGGAAAATTTCTTTACATTTCGTAAGTAATTTCCTCATCTATTTTCATATTATGATCTCATATATATATTTAAAATTATTCTAATAAAGAAGTTCATCATATTATAACATTTTAAAAGTGTTATATTCTGTATTTGGAAATCAAATTGAATTGAATCTTCAATTCAAATTTACAAAAGTTTTCGTCATTTGATTGCTGAACGTCTAGTTTTGATAACAGTGTATTTAAATGCAATTATATTTAAAAGTTTCAAATATACAGTATCATTCATTAAACCATTAATTTAAAATATTTTTTACAGAACACCTGTAGAACTTTTAAAATATTTAAAATAGATAATGCAAAAAAAAATTTTCTTGCAAGTTCTAAAGGAACGTAGTGCACAAAGCAATTACAACACACAATGATAATCATAGATGAATCTTTAATCTTCAAAATAATACAGAAAAGCTTAATAAAATGTTTCAAAGCATTGTGTATTGCTCTTTAATCATTATTAAGTAATATCTTGGAATAGATCCAGATTGCCTATTAGCTTAAATATTTCATTTATTTCGAACGGATGAGTAAGTATTTTCAACAGTATTTGTTCTCAAATATAAAGCTATTTTTTATTCTAAAGGTCTACGAACTTTACGTATTTATTTAATCTTTGGGGAAAAAAACTATAAAAAAATGAATTTTTTGATAACATTAATGCTGTACGAATACAACATACGTAAGCATATTTCTGAAGATACTATTTAAATCACTTTAATAGTTATTTTATTTTGTTCTTGAATGGTTAGTTACACGTTTACTTCTTTTAAGTAAAATCAACAAATTACGTGCCAAAGTTGTGCAAAATATTCAGAATTCTTAGGTTAAAAGAGTATTTAAAGTTTTTAAAGTCAATGAACTAAATTAGTAATATTTAGAGATTTTAAAGTTAAAGAAACTAAATATTTTTTTAATTAAAAACTCGTATATTTTTTATAATGAAATGAATTTGCTGCAATAAAAATATCCATTTAAAAAAATTACAGTCAATAAATTATTTATACATTTCTAATAAAAAACAAGGCTGCTTTGAAATTTAATATATTTTCGTTTTTGAGCATTGAAATAAGTTATTTCAAAATAATGGTAAATTTTGTTTATTTAACAGCTTTACACTCTACAAATCCTTTTTTTTAAATATAAAATTGGTATAGAATATCCTTTAAAACTCTAAATTTCGTACTAATTTTAAAAGTGATATCTCGCATCCTGAAATGTCGAAAAAAATTTAATATTTTTTACAAGATATAAATACACGAATTCCATTAATCACAATTATTTTGCAGAAACATGTGTAGCAAAGTTTTATAACGATGAAGATTTTGATGAATACTTCAGAAACTGTTGCTGCTAAAAATTATCTTTTAATTATATTTAAAATTTGAAACATAAACTGTTTTTTTTAGTTTAAATTCGAAAAAGTTTATCAACTGTGTCATAAAACCCATTTCATAACATTTTTAATATACCTATCAAATGATGAAATAACACAAAAATATCAGAATAGTAAGTCTTAAAAAAGCATCAAAACTTTTTCCGAAGCAATTTGGCATTTTAAATTAATAGAGAAAAAAAATTGAAATTTATAACAGAAATATATGACCTATTTTTTTCTGCATTTGATTTGTAACTTTATGGAATTTTAAATTCACTTTGTTTTTAACTTTTTTCACGAAATAAATTGGTATTTCAAATGATCAGTTATAAGTGAATTGATGTTTATAAAATCCAGTGTTATGTTTCAGAAAAAACTAAAACAGTTCCTCCGTGACTGTTGGGATGGTTTCTGTTCGTTTAATCACCTCTTTGTAACTACAAAAAAGATTCAAAAGATAGGATGCGCTATTTTTTCTTAACAATCAATATATTTGAGTTTGCACGAAATGTCACGGTATTGATCGCTATAAAAAATATAATTTTTTATAAAAGAATTCTCATCAGTACAGTTGTGCCTTCAAGGTCAATATGTCACAATAAATCACAATTTATCAAAAATGAATTATTCTGACCAGCTCTACTGTTGCATGACATTTTTTTCTATTGCATGATTATTGGCCAGAAAAGGCGTCATTATAACATCTTTATTTAAACAAAACTTCAGCTAAATGTTTTTATTTTGCTTAAAATTAAAATTTTAATAAAATCTGATCTATATAATAATAGTTATTCCTCCTATTAGTCCTATTAGTTAGTCATAAAATATTAGTTATTATTCATCTTAATAATTTGCAAAACTAGGTAGTTATTCTGATTTATATAAAACATAAAGTATTTTAAGAAGTTCGGATTCTAAAAGCATTTTCAAAAAGTTGTTTTTTTGCAAATATTTCGTCATACAAATGATCCATACTAATTACAAAAAAAATACGACATGATGAACTAGTTATTTGTTACAAATAATAATTACATCCATATTTTATAAATCATCTTAACTTAAAATTTTAATATTCAAATGCTTTTCCTTACAGATGAAATGTTACTTGTATGCTGACAAATAGGTATTTACCCCTAAATATTATGCTTTTTTGT